GGGATCCGGCGGCGGTGTACGGCGGAGTCGTCTCGTGCAAGCTGTTGGTGTACAAGAATCAGGGTGGGGCGGTTATTGGGAAAGGAGGGATGGTGGTGGAGAAGATCAAGAAAGAAACCGGGTGCAGAATTATGGTTATTAATTCGGAGTGTTCTTTGCCTGGTTCGTTTGCCAACGACGAAATTGTGGAGGTGATGAATTTATTAAAGCCTAATTTATAGTTGAAATTGTTCTATATTTGGTTTTTTGCTGAATGCTGTTTCTTTATTAGTCAATGCTCTTGCTGCTGGTTTTTTTTATGTTTGTTGAATACTTGAATTTGGGTTTTGTGCTATTATTATTTTTTTAACTGATTCATAATTGGATGTTCTTTTTATGCTGGAATGTGTGGTATGTGTGAGAATGAGAAAGTCTTGATTGTTGTTGAAACTCATACCTTGCATAGAAAATGAATAAAATCTTCCAGAATAGGTGAGTGAAAATGCTAAAAGGGCTCAACTCCTATGAGTTTGGAAGACCTTTCTTTGTACTCAGGCACTAATAGTAGTTCGCGTAAGCCTATCTATATTGTGCTGTTATTGATCTTTATTATGTAGATTGAAGGCAATATCCTGTCGGTCAAGAAAGCACTTGTTCTTGTCACTGGCCGCCTTCAAGAGTTCCCACCACTTGGGAAAAATAGAACATTTTGGACTAAACCTCTCGAGACTGAGTCCTTGCCTGTTACAAGTGGAGAGAGACCAATTATACAACCAATGCCTTCAACCTCAACATATCACGACACATTACACGGCCCCGCCACATGGGACTCTGATAAGGCCTCGAAAATCGACACTAAAGCACCAGAACAAGAGGTTGTTTTTAAGATGCTGTGCCCTAGTGATAGAGTTGGTGGAATTATTGGCAAGGGCGGGTCTATTATTGAGGCTATCAAAGATAAAACTGGTGCTTCTATATTTATTGGGCCTCATATGCCAGATTGTGATGAACGATTGATAACCATTGCAGCGAAGGAGGTAAAATTGGTTTGCGTTGATGCTTGTTTCTCTTGTTTTTATTTGATATTTTTGTTCCTTTTTAATTTATTTTTCTTTTTGGGTTGGGTTAGAGTATGGAATCACAATGCTCGCCTGCTCAAAATGCAGCTCTTATTGTGTTTAAAAGGTCTATAGAGGCTGGTCTAGAGAAGGGATTGGATTCGGATTTTAAAGGGTCATTCGTATTGGCTCGACTTTTAGTACCATCATTCTATGTCGGTAGTTTGTTGGGAAAAGGAGGCGCAAGAATAGCAGAAATGAGAAAGGCAACTGGTACTGGCCTGAGGTTCCTTTTGGGCAACCAAGTCCCCAAATGTGCTCCGGAAAATGTTGAAATCTTACAGGTACTGCCGTTAGCTAATGTGTATTCTCTCTTCTTTGAGGATCTTACCCGTTAAATTTACCTAAATTCTTACATGAACGATTTGATCGATCAAAATATTAATAACTTAGTATTTGTCGAGATGCTTGTGGTTGTTGTAATGGTGTTGGAAAAGTTGTTCATATTCGGTACTTTACACCATTCTAGTTTTATTTTATGTTTTCCCATCAAATAATAACAGCTTCCAGTTTTTCTCTAATGGTCTGTACTCTATATCATCTATCTTATGCTCTTAACTTTGTGATCTTGAAATTATACCAACTCACTTCAAGGATTCACGTCTGAACTATGGGAAAAAAAAAATTTAGATCACAGGAAAAATAAAAAAGAAACAAATAAAACAAAAAGGAGGGGTACATGGATCTCTTAATGCAGCATGAGGTTTCTAATCAACGCAATTTAACACTCTATGATTAAAGTTGATATCACATATATACTTACTCTTTTTTCTTAGATTACAGGAGAGCTTGCAAATGTACAGAATGCTCTATTTGCAGTGACCAGTAGGTTGCGGGATAATCTGTTCTCCGTGTCGATCCCAAGTGGACGTGGGAGTTATAACACTTTGAGGACCGAAGATAGTGTCTTTAGCAGAGTAAAAGATCCCCGTACTTTTGGATCACATTTATTTCTCGATAATATTTCAGACAATCCAAACCAGGACAAGTCATTGACCAATAGTATGGAAAGTCTTCAAATTTCAAATAATATAGACCGACCAACATCGACAGGCTCGATAATGCCACAGGTATCAATTAAATCTTCACTGTTTTTCCTTGTTTTTCTGCATATGAATGATTGTTTTTTGATACCTCTGTTTTCAGACAGTTGATGGAGTAAACCAGGGAAATATTATGGACAATGATGAAAGTTTACCTTCGGATAAAGGTGGTATGGAAATTAACAGGTTAGTACCGACCATAACTCTACATATTCCATATGCATATGCTGTCTAATTTAGTTGTAGTACTATAACGTTATATCAATAAAATTGATTTGGATCAATTAAAATGGTCACGATTTATTTGTAGTTTGCTTGTTAGTGCGATTTTGCGATATTTGAAGTATGATTTAATTGTAGATTGCCTATCAGTGCAATGTGCACTGGAATTTTACTATTTCTTTTCCTGATGATATCTGAGGCATGATATATGTAGTTTGCTGTTTGCCTAACAGTAATTGCTTGATATTGGACCTTCTAAAGTTATTGCTTTTTTGTTTTTGTTTTTGGGTACTGTAATCATACCAATCAACAACATTACACAATTAGATTTCTTAAATTTCAAATTTATGGCAAGGTCAAATGAATATTCTCAGCACAATTTTTTTTAAAACCTTTTTTGGGGCTCCTCGTGAACAGTGAAAGCAGATCTGCCGTTGTGACAAATACAACTATAGAGATTGTTGTCCCTGATGCTGTGATTGGATCCATTTACGGCGAGAATGGTAGCAATTTGGATCGTTTAAGACAGGTAACAAATCTTCTTCCCTTCTTCTTTCTTCTTGTTATGTTTTTCGTTTTCTTCAAGGGTCTGTGTGCTTGTATTTTCCCTTTTTTCACTCTTTTGAGGTAAAATCTTCAAGATGATTTACGGTTGCCAATATTTACAACCTTCATTGATGTTTTTTTTTTCTTTATTCACTTTCTTATGTGTTTCCCCTTTTGTATACCAGATATCTGGAGCTAAGGTAGTAGTACATGAACCTCGTCCTGGAACAAATCTTAGTACTGTTGTCATATCCGGAACACCAGACGAGACACAAGTTGCTCAGAGCCTGATGCAAGCATTTCTACTATCTGGTTCATAGCAAATACAGAGAGTATCTTAGGTTCTTGAATTGTTTTTATTTCCTTAATTTTTTCGAGTCATCTATCTACCCAGAGAGGAAAAACAGCGGGAAAAAAGTGCGTGCCTAACGCTTTTTGATCGGTAAACTAGTTCACTGTGCCATAAGCAATCAACGAAAATAATCTGCTATGGTGAGTCTAGATTAGGATCCTAATCACCTTTTGCTTTTCGACTTCGTTTAGCACATTTTGAGCCAACTGCTGGTATACTGGATCCAGATTAGGACCCCTAATCTTCCCATTTTCTGTAGACTACTGCTATTTGCACACTTAATTGTTTTTACCTGATTTTGGTATACGGTTGTCTAAGAATATTATTCTTTATTTTTGCAATCAACTCGTTCGCTCGGTTTGTGAATCTTTTGTAGCATAATTACGTATTTTTGTTAAAAGTATGATGGATCGAATGCGCTTCCTACAAGAATTTGAGGTTGACATATGAAAACCGTGAACACAAACATAAGAACACTTTCTTAAAACGATCACATTTATCGCCCAACAAAACGAAGAGAACTTATAGAAACAGAATACAAATACATCACACAATAATGTGACTGGCTTCCTAGAGGAAGTACACACAATCCATTATACATCACCACAAGTTACAACAAATACATTTCACTAATTTCCAGAAAAAAAAAAAAGCACTCGACAATCTTTAGCTCTTTACAACTTCTTCACCGCTTGCTGCTGCGTCAGGTTTGAGGATAATTTCGACATTATCATGAACTCCTTGCAACAGTAACTCACCGTCAAATGTTATGATTTTACGCTTCTTGGCTGCACGTAACGTGCCGACTAGAGCTTCAAAGATGTTTGCACACCTGTCATCGTTAAAAAGCACGCCAAATGTAACCTGCTCGATTCACGACAAAAAATGAATACATACCAGCATTAGTTAAGATCTCACTAGAGTAGAAGAAGACAGAACCACACACAATAAGTCATTCAATTGCAGAACAGACCAAAAACATATCAACATTTTCTGCAAATTCCCAAAAGAAGTCTTTCAATTGCATAACAAACCAAAAAAAAACATATCAACAAAGCCTTTAAGGGGGTCTATTTGAGATGAAACATAAGAGAAAGGTTAAAATCTGTACCAATTACCCATGACATGATTAGAACCCTTTGATGATAGTCGTATACCACACGAGTAGTCATCATATAGAAAACGAACCGAGCTACATTTTCGGCCGTTCGTCATATACGATCCGACAATCTCTATCAAGACAATAATGCGAAACATCATATACGAGCTACATTTGCTGCAAATCAATCTTCAGTTACCCAACCAGTCTGAATCAAAAAAAATTCAATTTCTGACCTAAGAAGAAACAATTTGGGGCAAAAATTTTCCACAGCTAACATAACATTCTCGGATCAGAAAAAAAATGCAGGAACAAGGTAAAGACAAGGATCATGGTCTAAATCGAAGAAAACTAATAATGTAACCGGAAATAACATCGTCAACTAGCTCAGAATCGACCTTGCAGGAGCCATCGGGTTGGGGTTGGCCGAGACGATGGATCTCTTCCTTGAGTCGCCCAATTTCTTCTTCAACGTTCATGCTTTCTGCTGATGCTTTTTCCTTTTGTTTTCTTCAGAGAATAATCTCTATTCAGAATTTTTTTTACAGGACGGACTTTATTTCCATGGAAAGATAAGGGCGTTTCGGTTTTTGAAAGTAATAATATCTGGCTCGTTTAACTAGGGTTGAGCGGTGTAAATATTAGCATCGAGTAAGTAATATGTTCCTGGGTTCTTTGTATATTACAATTTTGCTATTCCGTTTGTCATGTAAGTACGAGTTGTAATTGATTATTATGATTTTGAAATATAATTATTAACAATATTGTTATTGTACTTTACACCAAAATATTTAAGCAAATAAGAACGACTAACAGGAAACACACGAAACATAGTGATAGAGTTTGTAGTGAAAATTCCTACAACGTACAAAATAAGTTGTAAAATGGTAATTGTATGTAATAGTTGAAATATTTTTTTTTTTGTTTTGAGAAAAAAAGTGTTATTTAAAAGTTTGTAATGTGTGTTCATATACGATGCGTAGTTGTATAAACTATAACACCCCGCTATGTCGTAAATATCAGAGTTAAGTTTTTCGCAAAATATTACTTGAAAAAAAATACTTTATTAGTTGCGAAATCATGATTCAGAGTGCTACCATAACTGTAACTTTACGTTGGAAACCGTTATTTTAGTTTTTTAAAAAAAACGGATTATCATAATATATCCAATAATGTCTAATGGAACAAGAATGGCTCGGGAGTTGCCGATTAAAATGGACATGGCTTAAATGACTTAAACCTTGCATAACATGGCTTCTTCATGAATTGAACATCATGACTTGGACTTAACATGATCATGTTAGTACTAGAAGAAGGTAAGACAAGGTTACCTCCTTAATTGCTCGAAGGAAATAATGAGAATTGCTTGAAGGCGTGTGCGAGTGCGTACGGTACCTCTTCCATCCGACTATTTATGTAGAGTGTTTGGAGAGGTAAATACTAAATAGCCATTGAAAACAATCGTTAACTAGCCGTTGTTATTTTTTCTATATTTTGTATTCTTTTTATTTTGATATTATTATTATTATTATTATTATTATTATTATTATTATTATTATTATTATTATTATTATTATTATTATTATTATTATTATTGTAGACCGCATAGCCCGTTTAGCCTGAATCCCACTAGAGTTAGAGTTAGGTCCCTTTATTGGTAACCCGTTTAAATTCGGGCTATTTAGGTCGGATCGTTTAGCCCGAAGCCTGCTAGGGCTAGCCCGTTTAAGTTTCAATGTTTTAAATGCCATACCGGTCTAGCCATCGGTACGCGGTATTAACGGTCGGACCGGTAATATCGGTGGTATTACCAGATTAGCAAATATAGTGATAAATATAAATATACAAAAAATATATAAGACCAAATGTAAAAAAGTAAAAAAATAAATGACTATAATCATTAATTTCAACTTCTCAATGAGATAAAAATAAAATATTTTAACTACCAATTTAAATTTTATTTTTTTTTAAATTAAAAAACTTTTATTTTTTTTATTTTTTTTTAATTAGCCGGTATTTTGCGATTTTTACGGTATGATCCCAATACAAACCGGTATAACCGTAAATCCTATATTTTGAGTGTAATTGTACCGTACCAATGGTCAATATCCGATATTACCGGTATTACCGGCCGGTATGGTACGGCATTTAAAACATTTCGTTTAACATCTCTATAAATGGATAATAATGTAATTAAAAATATGAGAGATCCCGACCTTAATTATATTAAAAAGTAGTATTGTTATTTTTGTTGTCGTTGTTGTTACTTATGTAATTTGGAGAAGTTATTTAAAAAAATGCTTATTAAAAAAATGCTTAATGAGATGCACAATAAATAGTTTACTAATATATTTTGCAATATAATTTTTATACTTATTGAACTTTCATATATCATTTGATTAGTTTTAGTAATAACTATTATATAATAAAATAATTAATAAATATAGTTACACTTTAATTAAATATTATCTTAATAAATTAATTGGTTTGATTTCAGTTACAGATTTTATAAAAATAAAAAATACAAAAAACAATATTGAATTGTAACGAAAAAAGGCGAGAAACACAAATAGTTTTGTTAAATTTTTCGCTAGCAATTATATATAGATAGATATATTGCCGATCAAAATAATTGATTATTGAGTTTTTAAAATTTTAGTTAAAATAAAAAAAAAAAAA